ACCGATTGGTCTCCTCCTCGGCCTTCATTATGTCCGTACATTCGGGACACAACCGGTTGTCGACAGCCGACGGACTTCTCTTCAGTGACGAACACTTTTGATGATAACTGCGAAGACATGCCTTACAAGAGAAGTCGACTCCACTCTTATGGCAGTCCCAACAGTAGGTGTCTTTGATGGCCAGAAACACCGTTTGCGACCGATTCGCGCCCTTCTCTGACACCACACTCTTCACCGAATGCTTGCCATCACTTGAATTGGATTTAATGCTATTCTTCGACGACAAAGACTTCCTGCGACTCTTGAGATGTAGGTTATCGGCAAAGTTGTTCATCTCTTGGTCGGTGTCGATGGCCAGAAAGGCCTGAAGGCAATTGTCGTCAACGCGTCCGCCATTCGTGTCCATACCATCACCGCCTGAATTGTCTTCCATACCATCCATACTGTCATCCATTGATCGGTAATTCAAGACATGGTTTTCGGTTGCAATCAAAACAACAAAAATGAAAACAATATTCAATTTGACGACAAAATGAATGCAACAAATAATATACAAATAATACCAATAAATGAGTCGATATTTCGATGCAAACAATTGAGAGACAAAATGGGTTCAAAACAATGGGAGAAATAAATTGTAAAATCACTTCAAATATCATTAAAAAATAGAAAAGCGTTTACGAAATGAATGACACATTTATTATCAGCTCTAATAATACTCCACTCACTCTCCCATACAATGCCATACAATGCCATACATTCACAGTCTATGCCATAGAGTAGGCCATAGTGTGTTCAGTGTATGCTATGCTGTGTTCGCGTGCATTGCCGTCAAGTCGATCGCTTCACCACTCATTCCAAACTTCATATTCCATTCGTATGTCTCTTACGAAACCGTTGAATGCCATTCAAAATGTCTTTCGTTTGATATAAGGCTCAATTGATAAGCGCTTTACACCAATCAGACATTCGCAACCAATCATATCTCGATCGCATTAACACGTTATCAGTCACACACTTATTGGGGCATCCGTTTGGTTAGGGTAGCAATATTGGCGAATAAGTGCAATTGTACATGCTAACATGCGAAACACCATGCTCATTCCAATGCATATGCACCCTCTCATTAAATACATTACATTACCATTCATTTATTTTATTCATTTACTCTATTAATATTCAAGTACCGGTAATTGATATTCATATAAACCATTATAAACACCATGCTCATTCCAATGCATATGCACCCTCTCATTAAATACATTACATTACCATTCATTTATTTTATTCATTTACTCTATTAATATTCAAGTACCGGTAATTGATATTCATATAAACCATTAAGTTATTAATAATTAATGCTAAAAATAACTCAATTAAAAGTCCTATCGATTTAACGATAAATTGTTTATTAAATCATTATAATTACAATAATTTAAGTCTCATAATTAATTTATTTGAATTAAATTTACAAAAATAAATTTTAAAAATGTAAGAATAAGTGACTTTTTATAAATTTAGTTTTGATAGCCAATAACTGTTCATAAGAATGGTTTCAATAATATGCGATAGTTTTCACTATTGCTATGATGTTTGAATTCATTAAAATGAGAATAACTGCGATCAATGAGTGATTTGATGATTCAATTTCTAATATAATACAATTTGTATTTGCGATTTGTGTGGCAATCGATTAATCCCAGAGCTTAACGTTGTTATCCCAACCGGCGGTCAATACTTTGGAGGTCTCGTGCGGATGCCAGAGAGCGGATATACACACGTTGTCGTGCGCTTGAAAGCTGGTCAAGAGTCGAGTGGTCTTCCAGTCCCATATAAACACCTTTCCGTCCGCGTCTCCCGATATTAAATAACTGCAAACAGCAAACAATTAATACAAATATTTTGGACACAACAAATGGTTAAATACCTCATATCGGGCGAGAAGTCTGGAGAACAGGCATAACCGGCGACCATATGTCCGGTAAAGACTTTCTTTTGGTTGAGTTTGAATCGATTCATACACGCGAAGGCCTGTATCTTGTTGTCCATCGACTGACACGCCAACCACTTGCCATTGGGCGCCGCCGTCACCGCTGGGATGGCATGCATTTGCGGTTCGGCTATGTATTTCACATCGACCGGAATATCCCACTCCCAAACACGAATGGACTTGTCGTCTGCCGTCGACACAAACTTGCGGTTATTGTCGACAAAAGTCACTGTATTTATAGCGCCTAAATGTCTGTCGTATTCCTGAACTATATTCCCAGAGCGTGTGTCCCAACAGATGATCTTCTTGTCAGACATACCGGAGAGGAAGAGATGAGAGCGTTCGTCATCGGTGTTGAATTTTACACAATACGCCACCTTTCGGTTAGAAAACCTCTTCACGCATTGACCCGTTTCGGTGTCCCATAACTTCATATACCGGTCATAACCGCATGATATGAAACGATCACCTGTTTTGACAATAGTTTTAGTAAATTAAATACCGATAGACATAGCAATCAATGCAACCATACCTTTACGGTTGAAGTTAATGTCGCGAACGGCCTGTTTGTGGCCCATATATGTGACGACACAACGCCTCTCTTTATACACTTCCCATAACTTGACCTTCGAGTCCATCGAACTCGAGAGGAAGAGATGCGCCGAACGGGGAAACCATCGAATGGCAGTCAATGCCTTCGTGTGTCCGGTGAATGTGTGGATCAGTTTCTTGGGGAGGAAGCACTTGTTGGGCGTGTGATCCGCTTTGAGTGAGACGTCGAGGTCGTGGGGCAGGTGTAGGAAAGACCTTCCCTGATAGTCGAATACGTCCTCAATATGAACGGTCGCCCTCTCCTCCATCTCCTTCTCCTCAGTCTTCTTACCGAAGCGTTTCTTTTTGGCCATAAAAGCCTCGATCTCTTCCATCTGTTCGGCCGAAGGTTTGGCGGTTCGCGACTCGTTCTCGAACTGAACCCACGGACCGGTATAGCCATCGATGTCCGCGGAGTCCATATTCGCCAACTTCTTGCGCTTCGCAGACGTGGCCGAAGCCGTGTCGGTGTCGCCAGCGATGGCCTTATTAGTGATGACAGCATTGGATCCGTCGCTGGGATTGGCGGCCGAGCCATAGGCGTGGAAGTGCTTCCTCTGCAGTTCAAACACGTGTTGACTGACGTGCGCCTCCTCTATATGTCCCGTCAAGAAGTTGTTGTCAATCAATGAGTTGTCTTTGAATGGGTTTTGTGGACCAAATTGTGGCGCAAATAAGTCCTCGTATTTGGGATTATAAGACAATTCTTTGCTTTTGGGATCAATTATAGTCGACGACTGTCTCCTCAACTCTTCGTGCACTTCGGGAGCGCTATTGACGGCACATATGGTTTTGGATGAGTACTTGGGATCAAGTGGTGGACTGTCTTCGTCTGAAGAGTGATCACTCGCTTCATAGGAAACTAAACTCATTTTAAACGCTATTTATATTCAATTCAATTAACAAAACATTAATAAAACGTCTCTTTATTTGAAGCGATTGTAAACTATTGTCACATAAATTACGTCTACTTTTGATTGAAGTGTAAAAAACAAATTGCTTTAAAAAATGCTGGCATTCAATACAGTAGTGAATACAGTAGTAGCCGAAAGGCTGCAAACTTTTGCCCAACACATGGGGTTTACCCTCGAGTTCGAAGGGTTTGGACTGCAATACACTTTGAATACAGGCTTTTGACAAATAATACACTTTAAGAGTGAATGTAAAGGAGAGCCCAAATCGGCATTTCTTTCATTTCATACGCAAATCAATTGAATGATACTTTCATTGAAAGGCATTTCAACACAGGTAGGGCTAGGCTGACCACTTCCCATTTTAGAAAAAGATAACTTTTAATGGAATTTTAGAGAACAAATAGGTAAACATTCATTAATTATTGACGACGAATGGAGGACACAGGTTTTAATCTTAATTTTCATAGCAAATCTTTAGCATTGCTCAAAATATTTCTAAATAGAAAACTGTTCTCTAAAAAGAGGACAGTTGGTCACCCTAGGTAGGGATGAAAATTTCAATGACATTTTCGTATGAACATTTCATTTAGGCTAATTTTTCTTTAAAATCTTTATATTTTTTTTAACTAGATACTTTTAATGTAGTGAAATATGTAAACATCCAACTAATTAAAGAATATTTTAATTAAAATAATTACGACAATTTTTTGGTTCTTTGAATTTATTAAAGATTGTTGTAGTTCTGTTATATATTCTGTAAATATTTTACTTAAAGTACGAATTATAAAATTCTGTATAACAAAATAATGATGAATTTACGACAAATTAAGTATTCTGTTAAGTATTAAAATGAATTACTTTTTGATAATAGTTGTTAATTTAGTTTAAATTACACAAATTAGTAAATATGTGTAATATAGATGACATCTATTAGATGTAGCTAATATAGAGTGGTTGAAAATTTAGCCTAAATGTTCATTGAGACCCCTAAACGTTCCCAAATTATCACATTTACATCTCTAATCACAGGGTTCACAACACATCCCAACTTTTTGCAGTCATTAAACAATTACAATTCAATTTGTAAGCAATAAGAAGTTTCAACCACAATTCAGCGGTGAATAATGTGGTTTATATGATCGTTCTGTTTCCTTCCGCTGAATTTTCCGGGAGATTCCTTGCGATTTTTAACAGAATTCCTTGAGTTTCCTTGAATTGGCAAAATAGTCATTAAAAGTATTTTAAATAAAATTATTACCAAAATAATGAGTCCAAATACAACAAAACATGTAAATATTCACGATTTTCTATATTTTCACGAATCACGTTGTAATGTAATTCTTGACAAATTAATTATAAGATAATAAACAAAAAATTAATTCCGAATTAGAAAAATTGTAGCCTTATACTAATTTTTCAACCAAACAGTGTCGATGTTTATCAATATATTTATAAACATGTAATTCCTTGAGCTACCAATATCAAGGTGAGGCTAGCGTTGCCAAACATACAGGAATTTTCACAGAATACAGGAATAAATTTTCCTGTACATTAATAAATACAAGAATAAATATTTCAAAACTAAGCTATAATACAGGAAAATGCAGGCATTTTTGGCAATTTTCTCATATTTATACAGGATTTTCAAAATATTATTTGGCAATGCTATGAGACTCCTGTCTCCCGGACCCTGAATCCCGGGCAAGTGAGAGCTTCTGGCAACACTACACTGAACACACGCCCGATCTGTCGACTATCGATCACAGTGTGGGTGCCGGCAAATGGTGGACAAATTATACATAGTTATGTCGCTGATAATTGACTATTACCCTGATTAAAGTATAGCCATAGACTTAAGCTGGCCTCCAATGTTATTCCCATAATGTGGGGGAGGGACAGCGTTATACTATAAACTACATGATTCATACAAAATTGTGGTCAAAATATATGTTAAGAAGAAATCTTTGTTAAGAATAATTCTTATATAACTTTCTAATAATAGGTTGATTTATAGATATCAACAACAATTTAATACTATCTAGTATTGAATATAAGTTATATTGAGAGTAGTTTTTTTAAATAATTTAATTACCTATTAATACAACATGTGCTCATAAAATATAATTTGTAAAATGATATAATATTTATAAGAAATTCATTTGCTTTCAATGAAAAACCAAATGATATTAAAATTAATATTTATATATTGCTCTGATATTCTGTCATTTGATTCTCAAATATGTGTCGTTAGTTAAGGAACTAATTTATTATCAATATCTTGTATTCAATTAAATACTTGTGCTTTTCTACAGTAATAAGTAAATAAAATTCATTAATTCTCGCACAACTATCAAGATTGAATTTCTATATTCTTATAATAACTTTAATTATCACTAAATATGATCCACTTTATAGAAGGTGGAGAGAGAGAGAGAGAGAGAGAGA